AAACTAATAGCTTTTATTAATTTGTTGTCATAAAATACCACATGTTTACTATAATAATTAGAGATATATTAAAGGTTAGCATTAAAATTTGCCTGTTACCCCAGCATCCAGAGACTTCTATTATTATTATTATTATTTATTGTATAATTTCAACAAATATGATCATGTTATCTCTTCTTTTATAAATTGTTTTTTTCTATGTTAGGACATAGTATTACATTTCAATTGCTAGACCTGCATGTTACATATGGAGCTATTTTAAGTTTCTTAACCAGGCGCGCCATGGGTTTCCACAGTCTTGCTGTCCTCATCAATGGAACTGTGTGTTAACCACTCATTACTAATTCCTTTGGTTTCATTCTTAGAAATAGAATCACTCTTCCAAGGTGGACTGACACTCCTCCAGGCTCTGAATGCCCCTAGCCAGTGTGCCAGAGCCGGGGTACCAGTTTAAGAGCTGTCTTACAGACCCTCGTGGTCTTCGAGTATTCTGCTTAATTTTGTTGTTGCTCACAAATAGCCTTATAGCGAAGAAGGGCCAAGGCCTTTCCTAGTCTAGTTTGCATGTGTCTGTGTATAGACCCAGGATGCAGTCAAGAGAGGATTGAAAGATGCTAATGAAGGAAGCTTGATAGCACAGACTATATTGGGTTTATAAGGGAGAGCCTTGCTTAAAAGGGACTGAAGTCGTATAAAATGACAAAATAATAGTGGAAAGAAAAAATCAGTTGCAAATACTGTAATTGAAAGCTTTAAACTGTTAAGGGAACAATGCTGCTTAGATTCCTCTAATATGTTTGGCTTTAAATATTTTTGATAGATGTCTTATACTACCCAAGTATTTTTTCCTGCTGTACACAGGATAAACTATTTTAAGATATTTATGCATATTGATTACCATCTTTCTGGTATTCAGTATGAAATTCAAAGACTGTGTATACCTGCATATTTAGTAGCATCGAATTCTTCAGTGGTGGGTGTGTGAGGGGAGGGGGCAGGGGAGGATTAAGCACTTTGAAAGTAATGAACTTGGTCTCCCGAAATTGGCAGAGGAGGTAAACCATTGAAAATACTTCCAGATCCAAAAGGTTTAAAAAATAATTATAAAAATTGCTCATCTATTTTAAGCTTAAAGAGAAAAACATCTCACCCTGGCTGGCGTAGCTCAGTGGATTGAGCGCGGGCTGCGAATCAAAGTGTCGCAGGTTCGATTCCCAGTCAGGGTACATGCCTGGGTTGCAGGCCATAACCCCCAGCAACCGCACATTGATGTTTCTCTCCCTCTCTCTCTCTTTCTCCCTCCCTTCCCTCTCTAAAAATAAATAAATAAATTCTTTTTAAAAAAAGAGAGAGAGAAACATCTACCTAAAATTGGAATTGATTGACTAGGAGAGTTTGATTGCCTCACGCAGGGCTTCACACAGTCACACTGCATCTCCATTCAATAGCTGTCCACTAGGGAACCAGGAGGAGCTAATGTTGACGTTTGAAAGGTTCGGTTAGGGGTACCAGTGCTGGTCACCGTGCACAGACCCTGCTATGAACTGTGGGAAGAGCTTGTTTTACCTTAGAAGAGAAAACTGGTTTTGTTTCCATCAAGAAGAAATATTAAATTCACTTTCTCAGCTTTCTGATGATGATATAGAGAAAGCTAGAAACAATACCTCATGGACTAAAATCCACGGGAAGTAAGAAATTTAGACACCTGTGATGCATGGCCATGAGATAAGTAGTAAATTCTCATTATCATTGACTTCAAGAGAACAACTACATTTTGCAGCCTTGACGAGTTTTTCTTAGTTATATCCTTCTATGGATACATTAAAAATAATTTACTCTCATTTTTTTAAAAAGGGTTCATAATATATTACTTTGGTTCCATTCATTTTATGGCTAAGAAATGATATTGCTATGATGTTAAATTAGTGGTAAAAAATATTTTTAAATTGTATAATAGTGCATAACCAGTCATTTTTCTTTTAATCACACACAATACTTCAGCTGTATGCTACAGTTTCCATGAGTTTCAACTGCAAATTGCTCTTTGGCCTTAGAGTCATGGATAATGCTCTGTAAACATCAACCTGGAGAAATCTTACAAAGGTTTATTCCTTTTAGGCATATGTCAAGTGGTTACTTTGAAATCACTGAAAATACTTTTGAAATAATCATGAAGAGGATTAATAATTTGGGCCATTAGGTTCTACTGCTTAAAAAAATTAAACAAGATATTTGAAAAGCAATTATGGAGAATGCTCTTGGCATAATTTGTATCAGAGTAAGAAATATTCTTGCTCCATTATTTACATTATTGATCAGCACAAGCTCCTTCGACTACCCTTTGCTTATGTGATAGAGTCTTTTACCTAAATATGTCCTGGTATGAAAAACAAATAAACCAGCAGTATAAAGGGATGCAAATGAAATTTCAGAATAGTGTTTGAATAGCTTTCTTATAGTTATAACACTTTAAACTGAGGAATCCCAAAACAAGAAAAGGTAAGGTTCTTATTTCCACCTCTAAATTTTAAAAACTTTAATAACATGATTATTTTGGGTCCACTTAAAGCAAATCATAGATTTGATTTTTAAAGATCTCCCTAAGGTTATAAATTTGAACTTATGCTCCTACTAATCAAACTGTCTCCTATTTTGTTTTATAATTTTAAAGGGTATGACTGCATATCTTATTCAGTGACCCTTTGATCTTCCTTTTAATTACATTAATTTCTATACAGCTATACTAAATTTCTCTCATTCATACATTGATTCATTTATTTATTTCACCAGATGCCTCCCATATGCTAGGCACGGTTCTAGGCACTAAGGGTTATGTATTTAAAAAAGAACGTTCTTACCAAGATGGCACTTATATTCCAGCTGTGGGTACTGTGCTGAAGTCTCACTCTCTATGCTTTCCTTCCTAAAGAAGAGTTGATTGCAAAGCAAATTCACCTTATGCTCATGAATTCTTGTACCATTTTATTTCTAAAAGAACAGTTATAGACTGTTAACAGATACAAGAAACACATCCACAAATTTAGCAGTGAGAAAAGCATTTCATTTACTAGAATTTATGAGACTACAGTTGGGGGGGTATTAGGAGAGACTTAATTAGCATTTGTACAATCACCTTTTGGATTTAAGTTAATGTTCTAATTTCACTGGCTACATGAAAAACAACAACAATGTAACATCTAAGTATTGATTAAAGATGTTGAGATGCTCAAAAAGTTCCAGGAGAATCGTTACCACTTACAGTGGCCTCCAATTCTTCACACTAATATTGTAAGACTTTACAGTGTGATAAGTAATTGACATGTGCTGTGACTTTGCCACCCCAATATGTGTTGAATTTCTCCACTGTAAGTGGCCTCTTGGCTGTAAAGTTCAAGTTCCCTTTGCTCCCTTAGTGTTCTGGTTTTAAAATATCATATTTGCCCTTCCAGATCATGCCTTATCTTTTTTTTTACATTTTGATTTTGGTGGAAAGCAGTTCCATTTGCACTTCAAGATGATGCAATGCAGGGCGCTTGGTTTTTCAGTGCGGTGCGAGGGGCTCTGGCCCTCTGTGTGCTCCATCGGCACAGGGAGACTAACCTCTGTGTCCGCAAGGATGTGAAGGGGCTGTCGTCTGTAGCTTAGTGGGCAAATCTACAAACCGGAGCCACAATGATCACTGAGGGATGTTTATTTATCTGTAAAAAAGAGGCAAAATATATGCGTTCCTCATGCATCAAAGTTCTATTCTAAGGCTTGAATAAGATAATAGTATCATGTTGTAAATATTATATAAAGTTTTACAAGCGATAACTGGTCTTATTCCAGTTTGCTGTTACTGTCTGTTCATCACTGTTATTATAAGATATGTATATGTGTTTAAGGATGCATCCCACCCCTATTTGAATTATTTGCTTAAATTAATCCCTTGTTTTCGAGGTGCTATTTGCTCATTTTTGGATCTATACGGAAACAATGTCATTCCCTTAATCACTGGTCACCCATATTGAACAGCAGATGCTGTGAAGAGCCTTCCCAATGACTGAATGCGTAATGAACCCAGTGGGGACCGAAAACCCACTGAGCCTGGGAAGGAATGCATCAGCTATGGCAGAGACACGTTAATGATAGTCATAAACAATGACTGCTCCGAAGCCCAGGCCAAACAGTTGCTAGCACTTCCTCTGGGGACGAACCGGACGAAGCCCATGTCATTCATTGAGTCCCTGAAGTGCAGGGCGGTTGTGGGAAATTAACAAGGAAGTGGAGCCCTTTCCTGGTATAATACAAAATGATTAAAAGGACCTAAAAAAAAAATCAATTGACTGATCAATAGCGTGTAACTGCTTAGAGCATTTTCCCCATGCTAATCAGTCATTAAGTTGTTTAAACGAAACATTTCCAGTGTCTCAAATTACTGAGCTGATTTACAAGACTTGGTCAAGGGTGTCAGAGCCTCCTGGAGCCCGATCCCAGGGCAGTTGCCCCTGGAGGGAGATGGCAATGACGCATAAATGGTCCTCTCTCACTGTGGATTAAGAAGGGTCTTAAAAAGGAGGATGTGCTGGGAGATGTTCTCGCCTAGGGTCCGGACGTCGGCGAATCAGTGTGTTGCTCCCAAATTCTAAACATGTATATTTGTGCTAGAATATGGGTGGGGACTCGGTTAAATTCAAGAGCAATGGAGGTCCAGACAACTATATAAGCATCTATACGTTATATATGTACAGGCCTTTAAAATATCTTTTTAACTTCAGCCGTTGTGAGCCGCATGCAGCAAACAGGACTCCGAATTCAAACCAGCCAAAGGTATTCTAATAGCACCTGTGAGGTGACCTGTGACCTACCTGTGTATTGCCAGCAATTCTAGTATCAAAACCACGTGTAAACTATCTCTTTTAAAGTTGAATGCCACTGTGGGGGAAAAAAACAGCACTGAGAAATAACTTGAAACAGGGGGAAAAAACTTTTTTTATTGATATGTTTTACTTTGCTGGCAGACCAGAGCAAAGGTTTTGTGAACATTTAAAAGATGAAAAAGGTGAAGAATCCCAGAAGCGGTTTATCTTGAAGCGCGATAACTCTAGTATTGATAAAGAAGACAACCAGGTTGGTTCTCAAGTTTGAGAGTGGCTGACGTTGTTTTTGAAGGTGGGCTGACTGATGTTCTTGTCGTTCCTCTGTGGCCTCTCTCCCCCTCCCCCGACTCTGCCCTGCCTCTGATACCACCGTCCCCCCTCCAACCTCCTCGTCCGCCTTGCCTCCCCCTTTGGCATTCAATGGGGAGCCCAAACCCCACGTCCTGGTTGCTTTAGCGATGGCTCTGTGTTGGGCTGCATGGGTGGTGCTTGGCGCAGTTCCTGCTGCATGAGTTGGGGGGTTGGGATGCCACCGGCTCTGAGCTGTCGGGGAAAAGCTTTGTCAGTCGCATTTCCAGATGTCTGTGTAACTATGGCAGTCGTTCCACTCCCTACAGCTTTGTCCTTCAGTTGTGCACAAATTGAGCTGGATTATCAAAATGGACCGATGATCACCTGGTGTAGCTGTAAAGAACAAACCTTGTTATGGTGAGGACAGGTGGATTTTGCAACTATCCTACAATAATAAGTCTTCACACCAAAGAATCAAGTTCATGTTTTAGTCTCCCGACCCTTCTCCTTGCCATGTTTTATTGTCCGTGTAAATTGTCTGCTTGTTTTGCATGAACTGTAGCACAACTCTCTCTTTCTGTGTATTTTGCTTGTGATGAAACATTGTGTTGTTGGAGGGTAGCCTGACTCATGGTACCTCGATAAGGGCAGAGGTATTTTACTCAATTTCTTCTCCACGTGGGGGTGTGGGATCCAGGGCTATTAGGAAGAAAACGGAGTTAAATGGCAAAGAAAACAAATTTTGCACGAGAATGAGAACAGTAAAAAGTCACAAAGTGCCATTATACTTTGTGTCTCTGACAATCAAAATAGGGTTTTTTTTGAAAATGACTTTGCTTTAAAATTCTTAAGGGCAAGATAATAAGCATCTCACTCAAGTTATTATTTTAATTACACTCAGTGAGTCACTGAAAGGCAGTATGTGCATCTGTGACACACCTAAAAAAAAAAAGCCTGTTCATCATTGTATCTCATTTCCTCCCACCACCACCGAGCTCCACCGTGGCTCGCGTTGACTCTGAAACGTGCCGGCGTCATGTACTTAGTGGGTGTTTGTTGAATGGATGGATGAACGTGGCTAGGGCAGAGCTTTGGTGAGAAATGGCCAGAGGAAGACGGGAGGGTAGCTGAGGCACAGGACGAGGTTCAGATGGAAGGATGAAGAAGGGGAGTCCTCCTCATGCTGGGTTCTTTGAATTGTTCTTACATTTCTTGATACTGACCCTGATCAACAAACACATTTCAAATTTAATTCAAATGCCAGGTGCAATGTCACTGAGTGAATACAAGGACTAGGATGTAGAGCAATAGTGTCTACATCTTCCTTTCCACTCGTCAGTTCTCGACTCCATTGCTTTGTGTTTCTCCGGTCCCCAAGGTTTCTAAGCCATTTCTTCCCGTAGCCACCTTGATCTAGCCATCACTTCTTTGTTTTTTTAAACCAACATCCTGCTTCCTTCTGAGAAATCAAAATCACACAGGTTAGCACAGGAGACAGAGTCCCTCCCTGGTGAGCTGTCAGGTAGCTGAACGGACCGAACACCCAAGGCACATCCGGGCACTCCCATTCCAGAAACGCCCATGCTACTTGCATCCAACAAGGAGGCAACCAGGAGCTGCGATCATTTCCTGGCATTGCATGTCACGCACACGCAGCACACGCGTACCCCCCACCACGGCTTCCTCAGGGACAGAAGGAGTGAGGCTTTTCATGCCCCATTTGTTTAAGTGAACATTTATTCCCCTTAGCTGACAGTTGCTTAACCGCAGACTTCTAACAGCACAACTTGGATAACCCTCCTGATTTCTTTTTTCTGTTCAGCAAAACAGAATGCATCCATTTAGAGATGACAGACGAAGTAAATCAATTGAAGAGAGAGAAGAGGAGTATCAGAGAGTGAGGGAGAGAATATTTGCACACGATGTGAGTAGTTGTTTTAATTGCCTCTTTAGTGCGGTCCTTCCATCGGCAGTAAGGCAGCCTCGCTCCCCAGACAGCGAGCTGGCAGGGACGCAGGGAGCCGGAGCCAGGGAACCAGTGGAACTGCAGCAAACCGGAGGTGTTTCTGGAAGAGGCCCCGCTGCAGGGAAGCGATGGAGAGGTAGCCAGGGGTTTGCCAGTGTGCCTAGGATGTGACCTGAGTGGGAATGGAGATATAATTTTGGTCAGTGAAATAGACCTTAAGTACAGAGGCAGGTCGGGTGCCAGGTTTGAAGAAATGCCTGTACATCCACATTAGGCAGAAGACAGGACATGCTTGTCTCTTTTCATATTAATATCGTGCAGTGGAACAACAAAACAGAAGGAAGAGACTGCTGATTACACACACAGAATTTTCTGCATTCTTAGCAAGTAGGAACCTTTTATTATCTCAACGTTAAATAGCAATACTCACTTCCCCTCCATTTCAGATCAAATTAGTGTTGTAAACAATTTTCAAGGGACTAATGATAAAACAGCTTCTTTTGTTTTTGTTCAAATCCCCACAAATAAGATGTGGTAGGGATTTTTTTTATCCTTTTACCTACTATTGTCAAAATAAAATGCAATTAAATTATATGAAAATTATTAGGTAAGAAGCTGGACTTAAATGCAAGAACGTTAAAAAGGCACGTGAATGCCATAGCTGATCCATTGCATGAGATCATTCTCGGCAGCCTCCTAAAATGCTGGGCCCTTCCCTCTGCAGACGTGGAGGTGTGAGCTCCTTTGCACGGACTGTGACCCGACACCTCGGGATCTACTAGGGCAGGTGGGGCACTGGACCTCTTGCCGGACTGGCTTCCGGAGGCTATTGCAGAGCCTCCTGGGCATCCAGGCTTCATTGCGTAGCGTGGAGGAGGACTGCTGTCCTCAGAGTTTCACTAAAGCAGTGTCCCCGATCTTTCAGTGGCTGCTGGGTCCTTTCATATGGAGAAGCTGCAGAGGAAGCAGCCGTCTGCACTGTCTTCACCTCTGCACAGGCTTCTGGTGTCTCTTCCAGATCCTCTCTGCCTTTCTTGGATACATTAACATTAAGTTCTGATGGTTGAGTAATCTGGCTCAGACCTCTGAAATTAGGAGAGTGGGAGAGAGGGAGATGGAGGTAGCCATAGTTGGGGGAGGTTCAGTACAGTTCTAGAAGATTCTGTGCGTGTGTGGACTACTTAGATTTTTATCATGGTCAGAGTAATTGCTGGTGCAGCCTGACCCAGGGAAGGCCATCAGCTGTGTCTGCTGGACACGAGGACGAAGTAATGAGAGGGTCTCTCCGAATCGTGGTAGCGTAAGGACGCCCCCTGTGGACTGGAGGCAGCGTGCTCTTGTCTGGTGACCTTTATGGAGAGGAGCTTTTCTGAAAGGCCGGTTCATTTTTTATTCTCTCTCTCCCTCTCTCTCTTTTTCCTCCCTGCTCTCTCTTGTGCACACACACACGCTCACTCACTCATACACACATACACACATTTCCACTCTTAACTCCGGTTCTGGCAAGCCATACCATTTATGAACAAATTGTTATATTCAAAAGCAAACGCTAAGCACCCAGATGATGCGCAGACAACATGATGCTTTTTTCTCCCCAAAGTTGTACCACGTTGCCAGACACTCACAGCTAGGGGACAGAAAGTCACGTCACTGATGCCTGCCCGTTGGGAGGATGGCCCTCAGGCTGCTGTCCTTCACTGTGGTTCCCCAGGTCTGCAGAGAGGTCATTGCCGGGAGAGGGGTTCCCATGACTTCCCCATGTCCCTTTTAGGATGACGAGGAAGGGACCTGGGTCCCAGGGTAAAGATTGGAGGCAGGTGCTGCTGTTTAAAGGCTCTGTGGCCATATGCTAGGCTAACATTTTTTTTAAAGTGAAAGCAGACTTAAAGGTGCAAAAGCCTCAATGCTAAGCCATTGCCACAGCCAGCGCATTCCCTGAAAGCATTTGACAGCCTTCCTTAAAGGACCATGGCCCCTTCTCTCTGCAGAGGCGTGCGGTCCTTTGATGGGCTCTCTGGTGGCCTGCATTTGCGCCTTTACTAATCCAAGCTTGTTTCTGACATGACCATTCACCTGATCTGTTAGGTCAGGGGGTTTCCATGGACACAGGCACCCAGAGATCGGAGTTTTTACTATGTGGGCCTCTCCATAGGCTGCTGAGCGTCTTTAAGACATGGCGACTAGCTTCCCCCTGTGCAAGTGATGGAAGGGGGAAAGAGAGTGGGCCCCAAATGCAAGACGTGGTCTTGCATAGCCTAATCCTGGAAGTGACATGCCTTCCCTTGTGTTGTATTCTGCTGGACATACAGTCCAGCCCTGGTGCAATGTGGGGGGAATACTATACAGGAAGTGAAGACCAGGAGGCGGGGGTTGTTGGGGTCACCCTGCATTAAGCACGAAACTACTGTGTCTTCCTCTATTAACACAAACTCAAGGGCATAACAGCCATATGAACTTTCTTGGATGCATATAGCAGCAGGTCATCCTATTACTGAAACAGAGACAGGACCATTTAGCAAACCTCCATCTATGAAATTCTAGATTCCCACATGACCATTGCTATGGCCCAGACCACTGAGGTCCACAAGATAATTCAACTCTATGAAGTCAATTATAAAATAAATGCAAAGAATCCAGCATAAGGAAACTATGTTATACACGTCTGATCTTTTTCTTAGCTGGTCTTTAATTTAGTGTTTTCATAATTTAAAATGAGGTAATAAAGCTAGCATTCCTTGCTAAATATTCAGTAGTACTCATTCAAACAGGTTGAAATATTTATATACTTAAGCAGCATTTTTTTCTACTTGAAGTTACAATAGAGAATTAATATAGAGAAATACTTCCTGGTATTTACCCTTTAGCAAAATTCAAACTTATTTTAAAATGTGATGTGTTCTTGATAGTTTACAAATGAAATGTATCTTGGTGGCTAAGGTGTTTGTGTGCGTGCTTTTGTACGTAGGTGCATAGCTGAAATATGCAGGTTACTTTGGGTTTTCGAGGAAACAATTTTCAAGTTCAATTTGAGAATTTTAGTATCTTGAGATAAGACAAATGTATTCATTATTTGAGAACTAAATTGGTGTAAGTCAGAGCCCACAAAACTTTAGTTCTCAAAGAATAAATAAATATATTTGGGTGATCAGAAATATTGGAAATACAACTTTTATTCCCTTCAGCTTGTTTTATGATTAATCCTATGCAACAGTTGCTGGTTTGAGGAAGGTTAAGTTGATAAAGCAATCTAGGTGAAGAGGATATGTTTTGCCTGGAAAACATATGTTTTCTGAAGGATATTTATGTGTAAACAGGGACTCAGGGAGGAGCTCCTCCTATTTTTTGGTGGTTTTTTTTTGTACGGGGATTCCTCCTCAGCGAGAACTGATAAGGGTGCCTGGTGCCACCTGGATTGGGGGTGGGGCGTGGGAGAGAGTTCTGCAACCCATTAGGCAAGCTCTTTTTTCTCCTTCAATAAAAAATGAGCCCTTTATATCTGAGAGTGCGTGACAACTTTGAATGCCGCATTAATTCCTGTGACAATTTTATCTTTCTCTGCTATTAAAATGTACAAGTTATTAATACTACTTATTTTAAAAGTTTAGAATCATCCGTCACTGAATCACGTCCTATAACGATTTTCCTCTTATTTATGAAAATGTGGTGGAGGGATGATGAGATGATTTTTTATGACCTTTCCACAAAACTCAGAAAAAATACTCTTGAGATACATTTTGGGGAAAGTTATCTTTGACCTGTAGGTGCTTTTTTTTTTTTCAAAGAGTTTGGGTTGCTTAACTCTTCCCAGAATGCTATTAGAGTCACAAGAGTGAAGTCGGAACGCTTCTCATCATTTTCCTTCAGGGCAGGGGCAGAGTCTCAGTAGTCCCCAAGCCCAGCTAGAACATTCCAACACTAACGGACCTCTTTCCGATGACAAGAACCGAGAGGTACCAAAGAACTGAATTCATAGTGTGTCTCTGAGGCAACCTCGCTTGCTTTCACTCCCCACAACTTGACTCAACCCTGGAGCAAATCCTAACGAAGGGAAATAAAGACAGTGAGCTATTTCGTGGACCGTAAATGGACTTTCACAGGAATAAGGGGGTGGCACATCTTTTGCATTTGTTTCCCTTCACAAAATTAAATGCCAAATAAAAAAGGGAGATTTTCTGAAAAGCTTTTTTTTTTGTAATTGAGTAAAGTTGTGGCTTTTTTGTTACATAAAGTTTCGGCACACTTGGAGTTCAGGGTGCACGTTAAAGGCACAGAGGTTAAAACAGGAGTGGTTCTTAGAGACGCCCTCACCGACATGCTCAGACCGCTGAGAAAAACATGATGCCCAGAGCTAGCCCTTTGGCTCAGTGGGAGGAAATGATTCCTCCAGTCACAAGTTACCATAAACCAGTATCCTGCTTCCCTTTCTGAGCAGTGCTTACATTAACAGCATCTTTGAATTCAAGAATTTGATATTGAAAGGTCATTATTATTTTGTTCGTTTTATTTTAAAATGGACCTGTGAAGCCTGTGTTTATTCGTTTAGCAGGTCGCTTATTCATCGTTTAGGAAATTTACACTCTAATATGGTGTGCCTATTTATGTTTAGAAACTGAGGACTTCGAAAGTGGTTTTATGTTCATTCCTAAAAACAGTGGCTTCATGAGAGGACTATTGCACCATATTTTGTTTGGGCTTCTGTTTTTCAGTTTGCTAAAATTTAATTTGATCTGCCCTTCTCCCTCATGTAATGGTGATGGAATTTTATCTTCCCTGCATTATGAATAAACACCAGAAATTAGAGAAATGAGTCCTTGGGGGATGGGAGCTAAGAAGAAAGCCATTTGGTTTTCTCTGTGAAAAACTAAGACATCTTACATGGAGTGTGACTGTTTTTTTTTTTTTAATTAGCTTCATTTTGTTTTCACTCGTCTTCTGCACCCACCCACCCCCACCCTGCCTTAGGACTGATTGATGGCATCTCTTGAGTTTTGAGCGTCTTGCCATCAATCTGTTTGTTTCGGGAGAGTTTAACATTGCCAGGTAATAACTGCCAGATAGTGACATTGCACTCTCGCAGCCCTGGGCAGATTGTGCCAAGTTCACGCGCTCTGCCTTGATTTGAACCTGTCATTCAGGCTCTTGGCGGCAGCATCTCCGCAGCCCCAGAGGGAACTGCTAGCTTGGGATCCGAGGGTCACACGTTTCTCCAGCAGTTTCATTCACAACATCTCTCTTCTCCTGACCTTCACGCTGAACGTGGCAAATCTATTTGAACCCTGGAGGTGCTCTGATGGGAAAGTACTGTGTGCTGCATGAGAAGGGTTTTCATGCTACCTCTAACCTATTTTTTTTTCCTGTTTTATTTCCATGTTTCCTAAAAATGGTACATATTTTTCTTATTTTTTTTCCCTTGGAGGGGAAAAGTAGTTTAAAAATCAGGCAAGGATTTGGGAATCCCTCAACGTACCCAGAACGTCTGATACAATGCCTTTCTTTTATTTTTCAGTCAGTTTGCTCCCAGGAAAGCCTTTTTGTGGAAAACAGGTAAAATGCAACTTGCTTCTTCATGTCTTTAGAGGAACAGAGTGTGTCCTGTGTGTCCTGTATCCTCATAGATACATATCCCATATGAAAGTGCATGCTTGCATATATGTATAACCGAATACATATATTTCTGTGTACATGCCTATATATGCACATATATATGTTATTTAGCACATCTAAAAATTATTGGATTGAGGGAAAAACTCCTTTCAACTACTTCTGAATGTGAGTTTAAATGTTTTCCCCATCTCAAGTCTCAACTCCTGGTTCTTCCAACAGTTGTAATTCCTGTTATGTTCACCAGGCATTAAAAAGTATAAAAGTTGAGACCACACAGGAACTTGCAGTTTCATTGGCTTATTGAATAGGCTGCTAAAAGCACTTGTATATTTGCTATTATTAACCACTTCGCATGCCCCCTAATTATATATAGCTAGACACATACTAATTGGAAAAATATCATTTTAAGTTTCTCATTCTAAATATTCTACCAGTCTTTAGAAAAGGCCTAACTTGGAAATCTTATCTAAACTGGTCTGGATGTGATAGTATGTCTGGCTTTGGAGTTAGCAGGAGGAGGCAATTATTATGAAGTGAGTGAGTTATAAAATTTACACAAAGCCTTGAGTATAAGAGCAGACATTTTTCAAATGTAATATATACCTTTTTTGAAGAGTTCTAAACTGATATAGGTATTAAAATGCTCCATTGATTTAATTGCAGACTTCTAAGGTGAATTAGGAGTTCTGCATTTGCTATACTAATGGCCAACTTGGAATGAAAATACGGTATTCATGTTAAAAGCGGTGGTTAATTTTATCTCAGGTGTCGGCTTAATGGGTGGTCCCCATAAGTTGATTAAAATGCAGGCTGTTTGATTAAATTCCAGTACTTAGAGAAAGTTTAAACTGGTCATTAGAAATGATTGCTGGAGAAGATGCCATCACTGATATTAGCAATTACAAATCTTCAAGTCAGTCAGCCCCTCAATTGAGTAGACTGGTTCTAGAGGAGATGAAATTGGAAAGCAAGTCCACGTGAGACATTCAAAAGGAAAAAAGGGCTCATGGACGTGGACAACCATGTAGAGACTGCGGGGGGTGGGAGGGTCGGGAGGGAATAAAAAGGAGCTAAATGGTAATGAAAGAATACAGTAAGAGAAGAAAAACTATTTTTAAAAAAGCTAAAAATGAAATGGAGATTCAGACTGGTGCTCCTTACTCTACAGTAAAGTTAAAAATTCACAGGCTTTAACATCTTAGGGATAATTCTGAACATTTCCAAAATTTGGTCTTTACCAAGAAGATTAAGTGGGCATTTATAATTGAGTTTAGTGGGAAATCCTATTCCCTAGTCTTCTAGCCAAACGTTTTTCCCCTACTTTGCTCTCTGATTTTATTCATTTCCTTGGGTTTTATACCAAAGACGGCTGATGTACTTGTGTCCCTTATATTCAAATGAGACTGTACTCATCAATACAATAACTGGTCATATATATGCATTACGTATAAGAACAAGTCTTGGTGTTCCCATAAAGTGGAAATTTTATAAGTGAATTCCTTACAGAAATAAATATATTTCTTGGACACCTGCCTTTGGGATGTCCATATTTGACGATGCTCAAGAAATAAGGAATAACTTTAATAATTACTCCAAGAAAAAAACCACAACCAAGACATTGAATTAAATATCTATTGTATCTATACAGATTCCTTTCTTCTCCTCTCCTCTTCCATTCCTTCTGTTTCCTCATCTCTTCCTTCCCCCTTATCCAGCATCAGTATTTGAATGCTGAGGTAGGGAAAAATCATGCTGCCATTCATTTATGATCGCAAAATTCAGTGTCATGCAAATAAAACAGCACACGGGGTTGATCTGCAGGAGAGGTGTGTTGTAGTAGAGTACACATCCATTTATTGCCCTTAGGTTCTATGTCATAAAAATCATGTTTTTCATTTCCAGTAGGCTCTTGGAAGACAGTAGCATATGCAATGAGACCTATAAGAAAAGACAGCTCTTTCGGTTGGTATGGTTTACTTTTTTAAACTGTGTTTTTAGATTATGTGGAAAAATTAATGTTAAACTCAAGTGTATTAGTGTAAAATCTCTCTGTTCATGGAATACAGTGTGTTCAGTTACCTCTTTGTAAAGCTTGTCACAGAGCTGGTGTTGAAACCGTGTTGGGTAGTGTGAGGTACCGGACTGGCAAACCATAACTTTGGATATAATCCTCTATAGTTCTTTCCCTGCTTGCCTTCCTTCCTTCCATCCTTCCTTCTTTCCTTCCTTCCTTCCTTCCTTCCTTCCTACCTTCCTTCCTTCCTTCCTTCCTTCCTTTCTCTTTCCATCTCTCTCTCTCTCTCTTCTCTCTCTCTCTCTCTCTCTCTCTCTCTCTCTCTCTCTCTCTCTCTCTCTCTCTCAGGCTAACTTTGGAAGCACACTGATTTAACATTCCCAAATCAACACTGGTGAATTACAGAGTTAAAATTTCTCTGACAGGTTGCAATTGTATATACATTTCCAACACTGGAAATGAATCGATGATAACTATTTGAGTACTTGATTTTTAGCTACTACTATCCATCACAATATTTCAAACAATATTTTTAAGCACAGATTTTATTTCTAAAAGAAAACATGAGATTGCTTTCGAGTACAATGAACTATTTAGGTCAAGATCTTTGTGAGATATGGGTAATGGATGATATGTATACAGAGAGACATATATGTATAAAATCTATAATATTAATTATATTAGATTATTATAATTTACTAACCCTAATATAATAATATTATATATCTTTAAATTGTACTATGCCAGGACCTGCATGAAAGTGGAGGGTTCATACCCATGTTCTGACTACTCTATGAAATGTGTCTCTAGCAGTCATTATGAAACAAATATATACCTAATACCTATATTAACATTTTAGTGCTTTTCTGAACATTAGGATTCCACTCCATTTAGGACATACAAAATAAACAAATGGAAAACTCATGCCTACTTAGAAGAAAAAATTACCAAGAAAAATAAATAGGTTGTGGGCTTAGAGAGTATTTTTTTTGCAGTAAATCTGAACTTAGACCCTCATCATTAGAAAAGGTAGAGTAATTTATTCCCTTACACTGGCAGAAGCAAAAAAACCTGGGATTTTTTTTAACTTCCCTCTTATTTCTAAATTGAACTACATAGTCTAATGCTTTCCCCTTGTATTATTAGATGCTTTTCACACTTGAAGATTAAAAGAATAACCTCACACTTTTTTTCTTTGAAAGCCCAAAGAAAGACCAGAATTTACCAGTACTCCTACATTCACACACCATGACCTGGTTTGCTTAGCAACATAGATAAAATGTGGGTTCTTGCCCCTTATTGGCCAGTTAGTTTTACGTAGCCCTGACTCTGGTCCCGAGCCAGAGCTACCATCTCCTGAGGTCAGCCATCCTAAATCTGGACACCATTGCCCACCAAAATCACCAAGCACAGAAACTCAGGATGATGATCTAGCACAAAGCCATTCATACAATGGTAAAAATAATTCAAAGTGTACATCATATCTGCCTTGGGTTAAAAAAAAGTCATCTTCAGACAAAAAAGGAAAATAAATGTCACCAGTTATGTTAATCAGCACAGAAACAGAACTTAGAATATTTGCTTTATAATGAGTCTAGGATCAAATTCTAGTTATACACAAAAGGGCTGACCCCCCTTGTTGACCAGACATCTCATTACCATTGTCTTCCTGGCTTTCTGTAGTAGGGGACCAGGACTGGACTTAGACGGCATGCAAAGGCACCGGAGGATTATTTTTTTTCATGATTCTTATGAGGCCACACCCAAATAGACATGAAATTCAATTCTGGACCTGCTTTTGCCAGTGTTAAGGAGAATAATCAGCAGATAGAGCATTATAAAACACAGTTTCAATGTGTAAATATTTAGAGACCATAAATTAGAATTATATGCATTGCTCTGAATTCATTAATGCAAATGTCCGAAGCAGCAACATAAATCCTTTCCTTTAACATGCACAGATTTTGCTGCGAGGTGATGATTTCAATGGGCGCAGTAGAAGTGGAGGGAGTGAAAGAAATCTTAGGTTGCCTCACTGCTCAGGGGGTGTTGCCCAACTCCAGGGGAACTATCCAGTGCTCTGGACCCGGCTCTGCCACAGTAAAGGGTGCAAACTGCAGCCCCCTAGCTAGCACCTACGAGTGGTAGTGGACACCTCCTTTGCAGACAAAGGCCCAGCCACACTCACATTTAGAGGAAGTCTGGATCCCTCGCAGGGAGTTACAGAGCCATCGGGCGAGGGACCGTTGAAACAGAATTAGTTATAAGCTTCCCTACATGGAGAGCTTCCTTCTAACCCATCCTGTATGTTGAGGTAAGAACCACCCCAAATCTTGTCCTACAATAAACATCCACAATTGGCTACAACTGAGATAATTGTCACATTCTTTGTACATTTATAGCTGCTAAATAACGGTTAGGCAGGCTTTGTCAAAGATGGGTCAAATTCATCAGAATGGAATGGGGAAAGAAGGAAGTTGAGTTTGGAGATGGAAAGAGAGACCATTGGAAATGGAAAACCTGCTCATCTTTCCAGCAGAAAAGAGTAGTTTTTCTCCAGGCCACCTCCTCTGGCTTTCTTAAATTCCAAAGGGGCTTAAGAACGAAAGTCGCCTGGCCATCGCTGAGCATTTGATACTTCCTACTCGCAACCTAGTCTTCTTTTAGATGGTCCTTGTTTCTAACACCAGCCATCCTGAGGTCCTGAGAGCAGAGAGAGTGTTCGTGAGAAAACTGACTCAGGACAGGGGGACACTGAATGCTTTTTTGTCTCGTGAGTTTTCCGCTCCACTTCCGCCCCTCGCTCTGCAAAGTCCCTCTCGCAGGTTAGCTAATTCATGTTCATTATCTTTGGGTCCATTTTACCTTCTTCCATTTTCATGCAATAAAAGAAAAAGTTTAGTAAGTCAAGATGAAGGAAAACCTGAAATTTTCTGTGCACCTTCTTTACACTTTGGCTGGTGCCTGTTTCCATCAGATACGCATACTTCTAGCATCTCAACAATTCATTATTGTCTTTAGAAGAATATTTATTAGCAAAGCTACTGCTCACACCTGTGAGATTTGGATCAAGATCGAGTCTGTCCCATACACAGTGATAGGAAAATTGGGGTTATATCTATTGCCCTTGATTTATGTCCCCTTTCCTTACTAATAATCCATGAGAATCTAAGGATATTTTAATGATCCATTATTTCCAACTGCAGAAAAATCTTCGAATATGGTAGCTAAGTTACTTCTTAAAAAACCAATGAAAATGCAAATTTCATCCACTTTCCCTAGGAAAGACGCCATACGGGTTGACACACTGCTTAGGGGTTCTCTGGAGTCTTCAAACTTCACTTCCGACTATTGGCTCTCTTCCAACACATTTACTCTGTTTCTATTTGAATTTTGAACAAATGTGTTATTTCACCTACGGACTTTTTTTTTGTTATTTCCATTGATCCTCTCGAAATGTTTCATGTCAGTGTAGTGTTTCCACCATTGTTACTATCACAACAACAGGAGTCAAAGGCTCTTTCCTCTGCCCATGAAGGTTAAACGTACTGGGCAAAATTCTCCCCGGAGGTCGACAGGGTGATTTCGGTCATTTCTGTGCTGTGTGTCAGAGCCTGCTGGCGTTCAGATACATAGCTCCTAAAATTAGAAAATAAATTAATAAACGACTTTTCTGGAAGTGTGTGCATTTCCCCTTCGTCCAGCTATTTCGTGCTGAAGGGAGAGGGAACGCTCTTCTTCTTCAGCGAGAGTTGCTTTTAGGATCGTTCAAGATCATGAGCGTTTCCAAATATTGATTTATTGTTGACTTAGGTCAGGAGAATTTATCTTCCCTCCTGCCCGCAGCAGCAGTTTACAATGATGTTTTATGCCGTGATTTTCCAGTCGTTTCTCCTCCACTGGCAGAGGGATCCTGTGGCATTTGTAGGTTTGGTTTTCTCCCCTCTGTGCCACGAACGTTACATGTGGTGTGTTGGCTATCTGCACCTGAATGAGGTGTACGTGGCACTGTTTGTAAGGCAGCCGGTCTCATGGGAAGGGTTGACAAGAAGGGTCTCGTGCAGACGACTCTTCCAGGAACGGTCGCCCTCGATGTCCGCACTGCTCGTGGAATGTAACACTGTCCCTGTGCATTCTTCCGACGGCCCTGCTCCAGGGGGAACAGAGATGGCTCGGGGAGGACGTCCGGGAGCCGGCAGAGCAGCTCGGAGAATGAACTCAAGTGGCCCGACCACCAGCGGGCCTGGAGCAGCACGGACTCTGACAGCTCCAACCGCAATCTCAAGCCCGCCATGACCAAGACGGCGAGCTTTGGGGGCATCACGGTGCTGACCAGGGGCGACAGCACGTCCAGTACCAGGAGTACCGGCAGGCTCTCCAAAGCAGGTAGTTAGTACTGCAGGGGTTTACGTCCTGTGGCGTTTTCTGAATTCCGCCCCAGCTGTACAGTCAACATGCCCTCTGACTTTGAGTTAACTAATGAGGATGATGTTAGCTCCTGGGGTAGACTGAGGTCAGAACGTGCAGTTTAAACACCAATATTGCCTCTTGCTAGTTGTGCACCTAAGTCCAATTATTAACCCCCTTAATCTCCAGTGTCCTCATCTATAAAATGTAGGCGATACTAGAATAGTAGTCTAACCCCCCTCAGTAGACTATGGTAGGTTTAACTCCAATCATTTATGTGAAAGTGGTTACCAAGGCACGTGCACTGGGCAACTATTTTACGAAAGTTAGCCTTTTAAAAAGTTAATACTGTGAGTTATTTCTTAAAACCACATTGTAAGGTCATTAGGATATGAGTAGTTTCCATTTCTGCTTTGGCGTGCTGTTAGGATCCTGGGAAAGTTAGTTAACCTTTTTGTGCCTCAGTTTCCTCATCTGAGAAAAGGGAATAATAATGGCACCCATGTTGTGAAGTAATTGTTAAGATCAAGAGTTAATATACTCAAAGCAATATTTGGCAAGTTATTAGAGCTCAGAAAACAGCAGTTCTTGTTTATTTTTATTATTGCCATTTAATGTTTTCCATCCCTGCATTGCACATAAGGAAGGTGACCCTCAAAAGGTTTAGAGTTTCCAAGTAGCCAGGCTCATGCATCTGGTTTTTATTCCTGGTTTTTTTTTTCTTCTTAGTGAATAGTGATCTTTTGAGTTTAGTAGTTCAAATTTGCATGGACTGCCTTTGGGAGTCCATGATGAGGAGACATCTAGAACCATTAACTTGAAACAACTTTAAACTGATGGAAACATCTACGCCACAGGGTTCGTATTAGCTCTTCTGTCTCCCAAAAATCCCTCACCATTGTTTACAAACTACTTTGAAATGTTGACAATGAAAATATCTCATACAATCCCAAGAAAGTAACAAGTGACCCTTCAGGAGCACTCCATGAACTTAAGTGTTTCTTTTTATTTATATATTTACTATTATTATTTTAACTGAACGTATTGGGGTGACAGTGGTTAATAAAATTATATGGGTTTCAGGTGTGCAGTTCTGTAATACGTCATGTGTATATGGCATCGTGCATTCCCCAGCCAGGTCAAGTCTCTTTCCATCACCACTGTAGCTTAGTATGTACTATCCCTGTTTTTGTTTAGCTTTGGTTTTGCTTTGGAAGTGCGGAGGCCCTGACTCTCAGCTAGGGTAGGGGCTCATGTTGTGATTCCCTGCTGAGCCCTGGGTATCAGGGTACACTGGTGGCGCATTCACAGCCTGGGGCCGCAGGTGAATGGGAAGCCAGGCCAGGAGAGGAAAGGTGAATGGACAACACCGGCCAGAGGTTAGACATGGGCTACCCTAGGCTGTGAATGCCCTCCCAACCAAGCATCACTCACGCTGAAGGGGATCCTATGAAATCGAGGCTCATTATGCTAATGGTTTCCCATAATTATGTTGTTGACAAATGCCTCCTGAGAAATTATCTCATGTTTTCCTACACAGACAGGAAATTAATAGCATTTAGTTATCGTCACTACTTACATATACATATCTTGCTTCCTGGCAAGATTCAGGTGGGCTCCCACTGCCTCCTGTCATTTTTATTTGCCAATTGGAGAATTCTTGATTTCTAACTCTAATTAATTGCTCTTATAGATTCCACTATTGCAGCAACGCAAGTCAAGAAAATCCACTGTGGTGCACTTAAGCTCTTGTAAACTAAGAAAGGTTCAATAGTTTTAAATCTTCTTAAAAGGCAGAAACCAAGTACCTTAAATGGTGCACTTGAAAATTCCAGCACGCCAAAAGAGCTCTTAGGAGTTTTAAATGAATTGTCATCTCCATGCACCAACCCCCAATCATGTCCAAAGCAAAGCTTTTTGGGAACATTTAAAACACCTCAAGAATGCTAAAATGCCATGTTCTTTGAAGAATGGTTAGAAATTGTAAGTGCCTCAGACATTTTAAAAAATATATATAAGTGTCTCCATTTGAAAGCTTGTCAAGGTGCAGGAAGGGAAAGCGAAAAAATATATAAAAATTAAAGGAGATGAAGCTAGGATGTCAAAACAAACTCACAGTTTCCCAAGGTGGTTTTTAGGAAGCCCAGCTGTCAGTCTTGCTGTCGTGAGACTTCAGAACAGTGCAAGTATCCGATTTTTTGCTTCGTCATGCACAGTGGCATTGCATACTTCCTTTTTACCTTTCAGAAACCAAGTCCAGAGTTGTGACATTTAAGTGACTCTTCTCCTCCTGCAATTGCAGAGGTTGGAGCTTTACATGGATAATAATGAGACTTTTTCCAAACGGAAACGTTTTCCTACATTTTGGAAAAATGTGTTAATGAAGTCTGAACGTACAAGCACATTCCCTGGGCTGTCTTTCCCCTAATGCACCCCCCGCACGGAGCACACGGTCACCTAACAGGTGTCCAGCATACACCTGGCGGGGGTGGATGACATTCTTATGTCATGGCGTCTTCCTTGGGCGGAGAACTGGAGCGGTGCTTGGGCTGCAACCTCCGCCGCTCCTTGGTAGTGGCGGCGTGGCTAAAAGACAAGGGGATGGCATCTGTTTCTCTCCACGCTGGCTAAACTCCATGGTTTTTCTATCATCCCTCCCTCTTGATCTCCGCAGCAGGGGCTCTCAACTTGAGCTGCATCAGGATTTCTTAAAGCACAGATGGCTTGCTCAGAAACCGTGCTTGGAGAACCACTGATCCGGAGAAATGAGAGAGTCTCCCGTTTTGTTCTAACACGTTTACACGGCCTGGTATTTTGTTTTCTGGATGCAAGGGTGTTCTTGTCGTCACCTTCTTAGTCTGCACACGCGAGTGTGTCTGAAGCCAAGGAGAGAGACCGCATCTTGCTGCCCCTTCCTCTTCTGTGTATTTATCTTCGCCACTACACTGGTGCATCCTGGGTATTCTCTCCCACCTTGCCATTTCAGAAGCTTTAGGTTATTCTCCTGAACTCTGACTCCTGGATCCAGATAGAAACATTTTCTTGAATTCAGAAAAAAAATAAGTATGGTTCAGGATCCTTGAAAGAAGAAAAATTGCATCAGATGAGTTAAACAGGCAAGGAATACTGTATTCATAACTATTGCAGTAGGAGTTGAGGCTATTACAATAGGGGAGGGAGATTAAACTCAACCCCGCTGAGACAAAAGGCAGGGAAGTTTTTAGCAAGCTTGTGGAAAAGGACTTAGACTTTAGAGAGGTGGTTGGTCAATTTGATGAGGCCATCTAGGTCTGCTCATTGGTGTTTATCAAAGCCAGGCGCTTACCCTCCCATAGACCCTGACGGACAAGGGCACTATTTTTCTTGATGGTCACATTTCAAAGGGATGGCTCCCCAGTCCACACTAGATCACACTTCAGATTAGAGTTCTTCAGTGGCTTGTTGGCACCAGCTCTTTCTTCTGTCCAACCCCTCAGCCAGGATATGGGCACGATAATTTTCATAGGACCTTACGTGTCTGGGGGCAGGAAGTTTTATCATATTATTACTGTTGGTGTTGGTGTTGAGTCTACACTAGTGTTAACGCTGGACTGTGACGTCAGACCACATGTGGCAAATCCTCAAACTCTGCGACTCACACCGGGGCTCTGACTTCAGGGTCATAATATCATTGATGTGCTCTCAGAATTACTCCTAGCATTCTCAGAACTCCTTTTAGATCCTTTATTTTTCTCCCCTTATGTTATTCAGAACCTCATAAGTATTTTAAACTGGTGAGATGGAGCATCCTAAATTAACCTGGAACTGTATCATTCTTAATAGTCGAGTCGTGGAAAAAGAGAAGATTCCCATCTCAGATCACTGTAGCGGTCCGTGGTATGTTCATATGCCTGCTTTCTTTTCAGGAGGCAGTTGGGTCATGGTTACATCCAGATTAGCCTGTCAAGATCGAATTCTAGCTCTGTCATTAGCTAGCTGTGTGAGTCAACTTGAGTTTTCTATCTTCTCTATGCTTCAGTTCCCCTCTCTCTCTAGACAGTGATGGGGCTTCTTATTAGTGTTTATCCAGCTGCTCACACGTACTAAATGCTCAAGAGATATCACCGTCCTCCTTCTCAAAAACTGTCACTCTCCACTGGCCTATCTTCCCTGCAACTGCACGATGTATTTCTATCGCTTGTTTCAAAATATTTCCAGTTTCATTTAAGGGTACATTTTAGAATCTTGAAAACAATCTGAACTATTCATTATGTATGTTAACCTTGAATGCCACAGAAGAATGCATTTTTAATGACCTAAGTCAATAGTTGTGGACTAATCATGTAAAAAATTTACTGTATTCTGGCAATCCATGATATCATACAAATCATCTATTAGTTTAAATTCACAGATACAGACATTTTGGTTGGTGCATTTTTTTTCTCTGATGCTCTGGTTAATATTCAGTGCCCAGAACAGCCGTGGTCAAGGTCTCTGGAGCTGCTTGACTCTGGTTTCAGTGAAAGGCAGCGAGTGCCTGTTGGGCATGGGATGTAGCAGGTGTTTCTTTGTCCCCAGAGGAGGGAGTAGGAGATGATTATGGTTAGATTCCACCTTGGGGGCTTCTGAACACGGAGCCAGATACCTGCCATGTTTGAGAAATCCACAGTCCACAGACATCCCCGGGGACTTTACTCTTGTGCCATCTGAAGAATGCTCCATCACTGTTAGGAAGACCAAGCCCTCCTTGGTCCACCTCTTGGCTGTGTTAGAAATGCCACTGAAATGCAATTTCTGCAAATATGTGCAGCAGGGTATACAGATCATAAGCACTCCCAATAGGAGTGATCCGCTTCTACTCACATCTGGGGGAAAAGATGATTTCCAGCTCTGTGCCTTCAAAACTGAGCTTTTTGGTTGTTGGGGAACCAGTATTTTAAAATCATCTCATGATCAGCACATCACAGGACGCCTGGCAGCTCAGGAAGACATTTCCATGGCATTCATTACTCAGGGTGATAGTGCTTTTCAGGCACTGAGTTCAGAGCTTTAGGGTACCATTTACCAATTAATCACCCATGTGGCCTGCGAGACGGCCAAAAGGGGGTGTTCATTCTTAATCTCTGCTTTTTCAGGAAATTGACACATCAGAAAAACATGTAGTAGATATTTCAATAAAATGTGAGACCAAAGTGTAGGAGGGGCATGAACTATTCTCGCCCTGCAGCACTCACCTCAAACTCTTTAACGACAGATTATTTAAAGTAGCATTTAGACCCAGAGCTGTGGTCTCTGCCCTCTTTTGTGTTGAATGACGTGTTGGTCTGTGTCTCCATGGTAGGTTCGGAGTCATCCAGCAGCGCGGGCTCCTCAGGATCGCTGTCCCGCACCCATCCCCCTCACCAGAGTGCACCCCTGGTCTCAGGGGTGGCGGCCAGTTCCCCTGGCTGTGTGCCCTATCCGGACAGTGGAATGGGGAGCCAGGTCGGTTCCAGCAGCACCAGCTACATCCTCCTTCCACTGGAAGCTGCAACAGGCATCCCACCGGGAAGCATCCTCCTTAATCCACACACAGGTTGGTGTATCACCTCTGCTTGGGCAGGGACTCAAGACCAGTGTTTGTTCTTGTGTTCAATCTTATGATTTTACTAGTGAGTTGTGTGTGTGTGTGTTTTTTTATTCTTGAGCAGGAGAGCTTGTTGCATGAACCGCTATGGAAGGTCTTGATTTAGGAAGAGCAGATCTACTGCTAAAATCTCCATCTCCATATTGAAACAGTATTGGTAAAGATATAGAGATATAGATACTCCCCGGAAATCTACACTTTTCTCTCTGTTCTCTCTTCACTGACCACAGAGTTTCCCGTGTATTCCTAGGAACTGAGATCAGAGATCAGTGAGGGTTGCATTGGCATATACTAATTTAAAACTCTGTGTTTCTCAGAATAAATTCATGAGCAGCCTATGATGATGTTAAAAGTGTTTTTGCATCCAAAATATTTAAGGAACTGGAGATATTAATTGGAACACATAGTGGATTCTTAACTATAAAAGATGCTTCCTGGCCTTGCAACTTCATCCACCTCCTACCAGAGAATAAGAAATAGCTGGGGTGACGAAGCTACAGGAGCAAATTCTTAGGTACTTTAGAGATTTTAGGCCTAGACGGGTTTCAGTGGGGGTTGCAGAATTGGTAACTTCATGATTATAGTTTCTTCAAAAGTGAACGGCTATTGGTTGCTATTTTTAAATTTCTCTAGTGGCCAGTTAACTTCCACACTGGGTCCATAGGATCCAGACCATTGAGCCCATAGACTGTTGAACATCTGCTTCAAGGGGAGACTTCGCAAGCAGGGCAATGGTGCCCAGGCCTCAGGGCCATTGGATAGTATCTGCAGACATTTTGGTGATCGTGACTTAGGGAGGAGGAGGCTGCTCCCAGCATCTAAGAAGGTAGAGGCCAGAGATGCTACTAAACATCCTGCAATGCAAAGGTCAGCTCCTTCCAACGGAGGGTCATGCAGCCTAAAATATCGGGAGTGCAGTGGTTGAGGAACCCTGGGTTGGAAGGTTTGACATCGACTAGTCACGTCTTCAGAAGCCTTTCTAGTGATTGAGTTGTCTCAAAAATATACCTGAAGTTGGGTTTGGGTTATTGCAGAGTGTTTCTCTGATTGGCTACACTTGCAAATGCAAAACCGGATGTGAATCTTGAAACAATGTTCCAACTCAATCTCCTCACATATAGAGCGCCACTAGTAATTAGGAAATTCAGAGAAACATGAGAATGCGAGTAAAATAGTTACTTGAATAATTGCCACATTTTCATGAAAACATATGGCACATTCTCAAGGCAGAGTGTTTGATTGAGACATTCTGAAAATGCCATCAGCTTCAGGGAAAAGAAGGCATAATCATTTTATTGAAAACCATTTGAAAGCTTTCTGATTAGATACTTCTAAGGAGAATATTAGATTGCTTTTATTTTATTTGGATCGTCGTAAGGCACTATAAAAGAAATTAAAAGAAAACCAGGATCATATTCATTACTCTGGGTGCTGTTCAAAGTATGATCTGACTTTGTTGGCTTGCATCCTTTCACTTTTAATCGAGAGGGAGGGCCTGCAGACGGGAGCCCAGAACTCAGCATTAGTTTTGAGTGGTTTGTTTTCAGCAAAAATTGCAGAGCGTTTCCAAAAAAGCACAACAGAGTCTTTTAGGGTACAAAACAAGAATATCATTTGCAATGATAGTGTGGCTGTGTGCGAGCATGTGTATATTATCATCTGTAATCTTGTTTACAGAAAGAGAAAGACAGTGCTTTCGGGTGCCAAGTCCCCATTCTTATTCATTGGATGGAGTCATTCAGAGCTCTCATCAAAATATCTCCTTTCAAAGGGGATCCTAACGAACAAACAGGATCTAATAACACTGTCGAACAGCTTTGCTGTACGCACTTCTCTGATCTGACAAATGCTAGACATTATAATATCCCTAGGCCAGAAGGAGAATGTGTTCATAAATAAAAAAGAATCTGTAGACCAGAAGGAGATGTAAGGTGAATTAGGATTTTTTTTTCTTTTACAGAATGTGTTTATTTTTGTAAATGGAAAACATGCACATGCATGTATGTATATGTGTGGATGTGTGTTTGTGGTGTGTATATGTGAATATCTATCTATCTATCTATCTATTAAATCTAATCTCCTATAAGTCTCTACTGTTGAAACAGGAAATTTGCCCGCTTTGGGCTGGAACTCGTCTTTCTCCGTCATTGCTGTGAACTCCTGAAATCCGTACTTCTCATCCTCTGCCAAATACGTGGTAGAAATGATTGGTGTTGGGAACCAAGAGCATACAACTACTTTGCTTCTTGTGTCAATTGTCCCTGGGTTCATTTCCTTGTTATCAGCACTTCTATAAGCCCCTGTGGGAAGGGACCATCCTGAGCTATTGGTTTTTTTACTTCCCTAGAGTGGATAACAGAGTATTCTCAGGCACCATGCTTAGACACAGGTGCTCAATAATTGCATATTATTGAAATGTTATCAACTACCCATTAGAGATATTGAGGTGGATAGCAAGCAGGTTTTCATCTAGTGTCTTATATATGAGAACGTGGCTCATGGATAAAACTATGACTGATGAAATAGCTGTCTCAAGCAGGATTAAGACAAGCCAAGATTTGAAAATACGAGGGTGCCTGCCAGTCACATCTACTAAATGAAACAAAAATGCAACCTCCTTTGTCAGCACAACTGACCTGGCTCTTACTAAGTACAAAATATTGAACAAATATCCCTGCAGGTCTCCAAGTGCAGCCACAACTGTAATTTTTGCCTGGCCTTGGACTCAGCGCTCGGCTGGTCTCTTTCTCACTCAGGACCTCTGGCCTGCTCCTCCTCTGCTTTCCAGGGATCTGGGCGCCTGAGCTGCCGCCGCAGCTCTTTGTCAGAGTCACCCCTCTGTGGAGTCTTCGTCTCTGCCAGGCCAGCCCGGTTGGAGTCTTGACTTTGATCTTTCCCCAGCTGTCTCGGACTCAGCCTCCTTGTGGAAATTTTTAGCAGAAACTCATCTTTGTTTGGCTGTCTTCTTTCAACATCCAGAGATGCCAACAGCCTTTGGCAGCCCTCAAGTACTTGTTAATTCCCCGTGTATGTTGTTATTCCTTCTCGCTTTGCCTTCGTCGGTGCAAATTCGTGAGTGTGTGATGTCAGGGGCGCGCTTGAGGGACTTCAGCTGGGGCGGTCTCTTTGAAAAGGTCCTGGTGGGCTTCCAGGACCCTCTGCTTGTTTATGTTTCACAAGACTTCTAGCATCTATTCATCCAAAGCCCTTCTACCTTTGTCTTAAATGCACTGTGAAGTTTTTGTATAGTATCTGCAAACATATCTTTGCAAGATCTGAATTCATCCTTTCCTATCCACAATAAACAGCTCCTTTATAATTTGATTGATTACTTTCTAAAACCTAGAAAAGGAAAATCTTTTTCTGGACCACGTTCTTTCTTTTTAAATAAATGCCCTTCGGCCAAGTCCGTGGCAGTCTTGCTTTGGTGGTAGGAGCCAAGAGCATATGACTACTCCGCATCTTGTGGCAATTGCCCATGGGTTCGTTTTCTTGTTACCAGCACGTTTATAAGCTCTTTCGGGGGAGGAGCCATAAATTGTTGTGTTTTTGTTTTTGTTTTGCATCTTAGAATGGATAACAAAGTCTTCGCCTCTGTGCAGGTGCTCAATAATTATATATCAGTAAAATAATGTTTGTTACATGTTGTACATGTTGATATGGAGAGGGGAGAAGTTGTTCGCCTCATGGCATGTATTGGAGAGGAATGAGCACTGGGCACTGAGTCCTTCCCTCTGCCCCGGCTCAGCGCACAGCACTGGCTTACCTCTGGAATGGCTCTCTCCGTGTCTGCGCCCACACACGTGCCAGGCCCATGGGCACATGCCTGTGGGCACGCAGGAGCAGCACCTGACCTGCAACCTCTTCTGAGCTGGATAGTCCAAGGGCCAGCTAGTGTTGCCGTCCCCTTGGGACTTTAGCAGCCACCAGCCACTCTAATTGCTTGTATTTTGTGGTCACTGCATCTGGATGGGTGGAAAGGGTAGAATACAGAGACGCCACCATAACCTGACTTGAAGACCAATAGTTGCCCATCCTGGCTCTCTTAGGAAATTGTTCTCTTTCCTAGTATCCACCTTAGCTTCTTTCATTTCCCTCCGTTACTGTTACCTGTCCTTAGTGAGCATAAATTCAATAGTTTATACTTTCTTCTCCTTCCAGAAGAACCTGCCCTCTCTCTCTACCCAAGCGAATTCTTAGTACTTCTCCTACGCAATAATTTAGAAATATTTCTTTCTTCTGGTCCACAGGGTGTTGGTAATATTTCAGATAGGGGATCTACAATTTATCAAAAGAACATTGAATATTCCACAGTTATGTTTTTCACCTTAATTATGGTCAGCTTTTCATACTTCTCTGGAGTAAGTTGAAAGTTATATAAAATATAATAGATTCTTTTTTCCTTATCTGCACAGTTGTATCTGAGGGGTGTTGGAAGAGCTAAGAGCATGCATGTCAGCCGCCTGTCACGGTGCCTGCCACACTGGAAACCTGTGTGTCCTCCTTGTCTCCTTCCTTTTCCTCCCCCTCTCCTCCCTTTCATTTGCTGCCCTAGGCTCTCTTCCCTTCAGCTCCTTGCTCCTATCGCCTCCCTGGTGGGCCTTCCTCTCCTCTCCTGAAACACGGGGAGGCCAGGCCACACCTTCCTCCCTCACAGAGCCCTGGTGAGGCTCCAACAATACTGCTCTGTGAACTCCCCAAATAGTGGCAACAAAAAGTGAACTCTGCCATTATTTCAAGAGGCAAAACACTGTACTTCCCTTTGCCTTATTACCAGATGATCCCATGACAAGTTTATTCTGGATGACCTTTAAAATCTAAACCCCCCACGTATTCCTGCGTGTGTCTATTCAGAGAAGTGAGTGGGTGAATGTGGTATGTGATATCTAGATATCTATAGATCTATATAGATAGATGATAGATAGATAGATGAAAGAAAGAAAGAAAGGAAGGAAGGAAGGAAGGAAGGAAGGAAGAAGGAAGGAAGGAAAGAAAGAAAGAAAGAAAGAAAGAAAGAAAGGAAAGGAAGGAAGGAAGGAAGGAAAGGAAGAGAGAGAGAGAGAGAAAGAAAGAAAGAAAGAAAGAAAGAAAGAAAGAAAGAAAGAAAGAAAGAAAGAAAGAAAGAAAGAAAGAAAGAAAGAAAGAAAAGAAAGAAAGAAAAGAAAGAAAGAAAAGAAAGAAAGAAAGAAAGAAACGACAATGATACTGAATTGGTGACAAAGCTAGAGGAAGGTAAACAGATGTATCGGTGAATAACATGTAACCAAACTTGGCTGGAATTGTATAAAAGAAAGCAGCCCCCTCAGGGCATGCATTATCCCACTGATGGCTGCGAGGTACGGGGCAGCAAAACGCAAGGCTCCGTGAAGATCGCTTCTCTACTGGGTGCCACTGTGCACAGATGCACTGAGCTTCGGCACGTCTCCCGGGAGGTGGGAGATTTATTTACTGCTTCGTAAATTGCTCTGGGCTTACATTATTACCTGGGTGAACCGGACAGGTCGAAAACATCCAAGTCCCTACAAGGTGAAGCTCGGGTGTGCGAGGCTCCCACTGCCCCACCCCTTTACTCTAGGTTGCTTTTTAAGTATCTGTCAGAGTGGTTCTTTCTGGCCAAGGGGAGGTAAGGGGCTCACCGGGACCAAGCTCTGATTCCACCGCAGGCCAGCCCTTTGTGAATCCCGACGGCAGCCCTGCGGTGTACAACCCCCCCAGCAGTCAGCAGCCCCTGCGAGGTGCCGTGGTGGGGCCGTCCCAGCAGCCGCCGCGGCAGCAGCCCTCTCCTCAGCCGCAGCAGCAGGTGCCACCGCCGCAGCCGCAAATGGCAGGAACGCTGGTCACTCAGGTAAGGAGCTGGCCCAGTGAAACCTGGCAGCGCAGAGTCCATGGTTGCAGGTGGACAGGATTTCATCTGGATTCCTAAGTTCAGACAGAGATGAGTGTCCCATCCAGTGACTTACCTGGTGAGGGCACGGTACTGGGGAGAATGAATGACAAGTTTTTTTCTTAGGTCTAGATGCTACTTTAGTGTATCAAGGAGCCTTTCTTGGCAACTGAACATATATTCCCACCCAGGCCTTTGTACAATAGAATCTTGCCCACGCATTCCCAACACAGACTGTGTTCATGTCTGCAAAGAGTCAGTAGTAAGCTTTTTTAATCAAAGGGAAGGAAAGAAATCATTAATTCCAAGGTGACCTGACCATTCATACACCCCCTTCCAGAGATGTAGAGTTACCCCCACTGTCTAGGGTGACACGTGGCAATGTCCATGGAAGCCTGAAGTGTCCCAGGTAGGTTGCTGGAGGGAACCTTGTTTTAAATTTTTTTCCCTCACCTCTTAGTCCCTGAAGGTGGTAGCTCTTATTTGGCAAATCTCCCTGAAGGTAGTAGATTTATTTGTTGCTTCTTAAATTACTCTAGGCTTACATTATTATCTAGCTAAACCAGATGGATCAAAAATAGCCAAGTCTTCACATGGGAGAAGGTTCTGGGTCATATGCGGGGGCAATATTTTTAGGCCCAGAGGATCTAACAACATGAAAATACAGCAGCACCTTCTCAAAGGAGAGTTCACCCTGAGCCGGCAATGGCCTTGACATTCCCTTAGAGGCTGGTGGTCCCCGACTCTGGAACGCACTGAGCCAGGAAGACATGTGGGGGGCGGTGGGTGGTATCCTTCACATACGACAGCCTTCCTGTGGGACTTCATGCCCCCGTGCTTCCCTGTGACCTGATCACCGTTTTCTTTCCTCCAGTCTGTCCAGGGGCTGCAGGCTTCCTCCCAGTCAGTGCAATATCCAGCAGTCTCTTTTCCTCCCCCGCATCTCCTGCCTGTGTCCCCAACGCAGCAGTTCCCCATGGTATGGATTCTGTGGGAGCGGCTTCTCCCCTGGGAGGGCACACTCACGGGTTTTACCGCATTCCTGTGCAGGGCTGGCCAGTGCTGGGTGGGTGCCCTGGGCTGGCCATGACGGTGTGTGCGCGCGCGCGGATGTCTCGTTCTAGAACATTCCAACCCATCTTCGCAGTCATGCTTGGTTGGTTGGTTTTTGTGTTATCTGGCCCGTGTTGAGTGGTTCTGTCATCTTAAACCTTTTTAAGAGTTTACCAGCTAATCAGGAATTGAATGCTTTCAGAATGAGGAGTTGGAAACACAGAGACACGTGAACTTGGTGTGAGGCTTTGGGGAATACCTTAAAGTCAGTGCCGAGATGGTCACCGTCATCACCCTTATGCTCCCGATAGAGTTTTGCCCCTCACATCCCAGCCCCCTTTTTTCCCCTTCACTTTCCCTCCATGTACTAGGTCCTTCGGGACATGAAGAGCGAGCATTGCCCCTAAATCGCAGGTCGGGCCAGTGAACAAAGACTCCCTAATAGACAAGTGGGGTCCCACCCAGCCTGTTGGTGATGCCAGTCCTGAGTCCATCTTTGCAGCAGCCATGGTGACAATGGCCTTGAGTCTTTCCTCCTCTCCCCAGAGGCAGATCTGTGGCTACTGCTGGGAAGACCGGCTGACCCTTCAGGACGGAACACCACACCGTCCCTGTCTCAGCACCATCCTGAGGAGCCCACCCCTTAATGAAAGAAACAACTTGTTTCCATTGAAAGAGGGAGTTAGGGCCAGATTGGGTTACCATCTCTGCTCCTTGGCATGATTAAATCGGTGTTCTCGCGTTCCGTTCTCTTGTTCTGGACGGAGGATTCCTTTCTTTTATTTCCCCAAAGTGCACTCCCTGCCTCTCCCACAAGGCCAGGCACGTGGCCGGTGTCTGCCCCTCTGTGCCTCTCCCGTCCCTAAGCTGGTCTCACTGATCTGTTCCTTTCTTTCCGGGCCTCGCAGAGAGAAGATGTGGCGACACAGTTCAGCCAGATGAACCTGAGCAGGCAATCCTCAGGAGAGACTCCGGAGCCCCCACCCGGCCCGGTCTACCCGCCCTCCCTCCTGCCCCAGCCAAGCCAGCAGCCCGGCTACGTCATCGCCTCCGCCGGCCAGCAGCTGCCCGCCGGAGGGTTCTCGGGCTCTGGGCCTTCCATCTCCCAACAAGTCCTCCAGGCCCCTCCCTCGCCACAGGGCTTTGTGCAACAGCCTCCACCTGCACAGGTGAGCAAGCTTTTTCTCACACCCGTGACCACAGGTGATTTGTGGTGCACTTGGGCCTCTCTAGTTCCAGGTGGAGTATCAGCAGTTCAACATGTCTTGCTCTTCTGGTCCAGACTTACATTCCCCACCTGTGGGACCTGGTCTGTCCTGTTCATCAGTTGTGGAAAGCCTTGGGTCTCAGAAAGTATGTTTAAGTAAACTGACCCGACCGTCCATGCTACAAGTACAGCGGGGAAACATCCCAATGTCCAGACTGCTGGAACAGAGGCCACGTGAGAGCAGTCCCTTCCCCGCGGTGCCCTGCTCGCTGGATTGCCCGGGAAGGCACGGCTGTGGGGAAGAGGAGGGCCTGCCCCTAGGGGACTTTCAGCACCCTCACGTCGCTGCTCTGGACACGTGTTCTTCCCTTTCCTATCGATTCGCAGCATTTTCTGGAGCCAGCCTGGCGCTCCGGGTAGGAGCCCCTCTCTTCCCCTCAGGAGAAAGCTCAGCCGACATCCACGGTCCTCCCCTTTCCCTTGGGGGAAGCCGAGCTCACTCGTGCACTCACAAGTAGCCATGAATCATATTTAATTGACTTGAGCATGTGAGACGCCGCAGATCACTGATTTTTACTGTCTTCTCAGAGACTGATTACGTGTCGCTGTTCACCACCAAACATCTCTGGTGCTCTCCTGGGTATCCCTGGCAGAATATTGCAAGTGATTACTGTCAAGATGTAAGATGCAGAGAGGCATTTTCTGGTCCATTTTCAGTGCACACGTATCCCAAGCAAATTCCATCCTAATTATAAAATATTGTATTGGACGAGCTCCTTAAAGTACAGTGTCACCTTCTCATCATTTGTTTCACCGAATGAACGTCTTGAATAAATTATTTTCTTTTCAAGCCATGCAGAACCCTCCACCATGAAGTAATATTCACTCAGCTGTTCATTTTCATTTAAGTGGTTAATTAATAGTTCATCTTCAGTTGCCTTCTCCATGATGTCTCCTTGCTAATAGAATTTAAAGAGTTGTGAAAAATAATTTTAAGTTGTAGGAGAAAGGGCCTCATTAATATGTCAATTATTTTGCTAATAAATACGTTAAACTTAACTGTTGGGGAAATTATTTAGCTCTTTTAGCCTCTATAGCATACAAGTGTTCTTATACATTTTTACTGTCAAAGAGGTGGCAGAATGTTTCATTGAAGACTTTTTTAATGAGAGTTCTTCCTTGATGAAAGAATGTCAGTGTCAGGGGATGGCCAAAGCAAAGACAGCTCAGAGCCCAGGGTGTGTCTGAAACAGAAAGGGCTTCTGCCACAGCAGTGATTTCATTCCCCCCTTCAACAGATGGAAAAATAGAAAGAGGAAGAGGGGGGAAAGGAAACAGGCATTCATTATTCATGATCAGTTTGGACGTCCACGAATTTCTTTTTGAGAAGAAACAAAGGTTAAAGTGTAGGGTAAAACCCATAGTGATTTTCAATTACTTTAGGAGACATTTTAAAAGTTGGTTACTCCATGATGGAACAAGGAAAAGAACACTTGAGGTACAGCCCATGGGCAGACGTGCAAATGTGGAGACGTGCCATGCGTGCTTTTTTCATTAAGTAAAAACAACACAGAGCGTAGCGTTTTCAAACCGCCACCACTGTATTGGTGGTTACGAGTAGCTCAGCTGGGACGACTCTTCTCTGCTAGTGTTTTCAAACCGCCACCACTGTATTGGTTACGAGTAGCTCAGCTGGGATGGCTCTCCTCTGCTCCACACGGTGTGGGCTGGGGCTGGAACACCCAAGACGGCCTCACTCCCATGCCTAGAACTCGGTGTAGCCTCGCAACCGGGGTGCCACATGGCCCTTTTCTCCAGCTGGACAGCCCGGACTTCTCCTGGGGTCTGGGCCCTGCTCCCACCAAAGGGGAAGCTGCACGGCACGCCTTCATAAGGATCAGGCTTGCAAGTCTCCGAAGTCACCACGTATCGAAGCCAGCCACAGAGCCAGCTGGGATTCAAGGGCTGGGGAAACAGAGATCCCCTCTTCATGGGAGGAGCTGCGTGCACACACATGCCGGCCTGGGGGAGGATTTTGGCAGCTATGTTTATAATCTACTACAATTGCATGATGCCACCTGATGACAGTATATTTTATATTTTTTTAAAAAATGTTACTTAACCTACCATCATCCTTCCCTGCTGTTTTTCCCTTTCTTCCCCAGATGCCCATTTATTACTACCCATCTGGTCAGTACCCTACCTCAACCACGCAGCAGTACCGGCCCATGGCCTCCGTTCCGTACAGTGCTCAGAGGGGGCAGCAGATGCCGCAGACAGCACAGCAAGCAGGTACTTGGAATCCGTCTCCCATTTCCTCCTCTAACCCAGTTATTCTTGCACATAAATCTCTCGGCGGTCCTCTCAGAATGAGAATCCATGCGTGGCCATTGAAATCAGCTCATTTCCCTTACCCAGAGAAGAAAATGGAGCATTTGATTAACTCTGTCTGGAAGAGGAACAGGTACAAGAAGGCGAATCTCCCGTCACCGCAGTGTCCCAGGCATGCATGCTAAATGCAGTCTCCGTGACTTATTTTTGGATCCTCTTAGTGTCTTTTGAAGCAGAGAGCCAGCCACACCCCCGCCTTCCTAGTGCATACCTTTCTTTTTCTTTTTTTCTTTTTCCTTTTTAACCTAAAGAGAATTCTTCCCCCATTCCCCAGGCTAGGGGACCACATTAGGTTGTCTCCATACCATCCTTAAATGCCCTGTCTTAAAAGAAGGCCACTGACCTTGCAGCCTGTGTCCCGGTGGAACCCTGACTCCTCGGCTCGCTTTCTCGAGGGCCGCCCACCTGCAGCCCGGAGCTCGGCAGCCACTGTGCAGTGGGAAGGGGGGCCGATGCACTGTACGAGAGTGAGTAGCAGGTCTCACAGTGAACCGGTCTCTTTCCCTACTGTGTCACACTCCTAACGGGATGCCGTTCCCCCAAGAGCAGCAGCAACCCAGCAGGGCTGAGTGACTTGTGCTAGGGAGAGGTTTCTGTCCTTCCTGCTGACCACACTGCAGGGAAAACTGCTAATTGTCATGCTGAAGACCGCCGGCCTGGGGACCCTGCCTTCCTTCCGTAAGTAGGTCCGGTTAGAGCGTGTGCTTCCCACGGCTGCTCATCAATGCCTGCTCCGTCGTCTGTCGTCTGGTTTCTGCACCGAATATGTGTTTATGTGTATATGATATCTACAGGTACATACATGCAATAGAAACAGGACATGTACCATGTTCATTGGCTATGGCAAAAAGCACAGTCCTTGCCACAGATTAATACCAATAGCCATCCTAAGAATGCTGCTAGTGTTTTGTCAGATTGAAAAGATAATTAAATTCCTCTGTATTTTGTATAGCTGTAGGTTCTTTAGTTCATCTTGTGGCCATTTAAAGTCTGTGGGAGAAGAATTAGAGGAATGCGTAGCACCTAACCAGAATTTGTCTTGTTTCAACACTGTATTACTTTGGGAATGATTATATTTTGACCTCTGAATTGACTTCACACTTTTTCAGTAATAAGAGCACAAAAAGGTTTTAAATTACTAGTTATTTTTAAAAGCATTTGGTAATGTTTTCTCTGATTGTTGGAAAATGGTACTAGCTCTATCATTTGGTGGTAACTGTGCTATCAGTTTAGATATATTCAGAGTAATGTGTTGTTTGCATCCTGCACTGTCTTATTTTCTTCTGCTAATGTTTATCAAAAAATTAATTTATAACTTTCTAGATATTGGTCCAACAGCCATAACAAAGTTTTCCTGTTAGTTCCCAAAGCCTTTAGAAGAAGAAAGATGCACGTATCTAATTATGCAAATATTTTAAGTTTAGTTTGGTGCCATTGTGTGACGGTTCTCTAAACAGCTATTTCAGTCCTGTGCTAGAGTTGAGTCCATAGATGGGAACGTGGTTACAAACGTTCTGGAACCCACTAACCCTGTAAACTCTGGGTCTACGCAAGGGGTGGGCCTGAAAAAGTTGGGTGAATGTGTTCATGGGGCAACAGACTCAGATTAGGAATAAGCCTCAGGTTTCCCACTAACTTCACTTATGAGTGTCCCCACAAGGGAAAATACGTGTGACACTTTTTACTTTTTTTAAAAAGAGTGGGATGCAGAAACCACCCTCCCCATCCTAGAGAGACCTAACTGGTCTCAACTGCGTTCCGTAGCAGCCTGGTGGCCTTGACTGGCCCCATGCTCCCACCTCACCACGGAGGTGCCACCTCCGAGGTGAGATAATGACATTGCAATTAGAAGAGTGCATTCTAAAGCAGCACCCTGCTCGAAATAGAAGCACTGTTTCTGGTGTTAAGGAAGGGGACTTGGGGAGAGGAGAAGAGAGAAATGATACATGAACCGTATCCAGAAGCAGAACATCGGTAGACACAGGTGGACTGAGACATTTGAGCTCCTGCTTTCTGTGGCCATCCCAGGGGATGTCACACCTAAAATCCAATGCAGTGTCCACTGCAGTGTTGAATTCACTGAATGTTTGGGAAGGCAGATGGTCTGCCCTGGCCTCGCTGAGAATCGCCACTGCTGATAAAATGCAGGTGACCCAGCACACGCAATGTCTTCTGACAGTGCACGGAGGCCCCTGGTCCTGTCACTGGCAGGCCTTTTGCCGAGTTCAGGTGACACCATCAGAGACTTTCCAAAAGGACATAGCAGGGTTATTGGGGGAGCAACTATTTGTCAGAGGACTATCTCAGAGAGGAAAGAGCCTCTTTGGGTAGCTATAAAAGTCAGATTTCCTGGAAGAGCTTGAAGATAGGCCCTCTCTCTCTCTTTAATTGACCTTGGACCTGTGTTGGCATGGCACACCACACAGTGCCGCCCTACCTCACGCTCCCTCCTGTCCCCTACAGTTTTCTATCTTGAATCCGACCCTCTCCCATCTTCTGCTGGTACCGACCCCAGACTGTATCCTAGCAAACTCAGCTATCACGGGATAAGCATTAGAATGGGACAAGATTATGTCCGCTGTAGCCAAATGAGATTTTAATCTCAATTTGCTTCGTGGCACTGTTCTTAATCTTCATTTAATTACAGTTGAAAAGTGTTTACTTCTTCTCCTTCATTCTTGGAAACTGAAAGTGCTGTAAGTTACTACATCTTTCCAAGGCCTTAGAACCATACACAGTGGAATTTTAGACAGTGCCTTGGGTATTCCATGGTTGATAAATAGGGGGACATGTGAGTTACACTGGGGCCCAGTGAGGGGACAGAAGGTCCTCCCCTGAGGGATTTTGTGCTCTTTACCTCCCAGTGGGTGAAGAATGTGCTAAGCATGTGGCAGGCAGTGCTTATGCTGGTGGTGATTCTAAATAAAGGCCATTAATATTAAGAAACTTTGGAGAAATTAAATGGTAAACCTGCCCGGTGGTATTTGAATTTTGTAGCAACATATGTGAGGAAAATAAAGACCTTGAACACAGAAATTTTTCTAATGGAAAAACCGTTTATTGTCAGTTTGGCATTATCGGGTCCCCCCAACAGTGGAGGGAGTGGCAATTGTTGATAACCAACAACTAACTCTATTAGAAAGCAGTTATCAGGTTAGAGCTTATAAAAATAAATCTATGGTTTTCAAACCCTTCTGGCTTTGAAAGGCTTGGACATGAGTGTCTTACTGGATAACATGTTTTTCTCAGTGGTCAAATAGTGAAATGAAATGCTGAGAAGCAAACCTTTCAGTCCTTAATGTTGAGGTTTATTTTAGTAGTCAATTATCATGCTGCTTTTAGTAAACACCTATGTTGTTATGGTTTTACTCTTGATTAATAACATCTCGAAGGCCACAGAAATGTTAATTATAATTATACCCACCCTGAGATCAGGATCTCTTATGGGTTAGTTGCTGTGCTAAATGTTTACCGACATTGCAATGTTTAATCCCCACCACAAATTTACAAGGGAAATGTTAGCTATAGCACTCCTGTTTGACAGACAGGTAAGCCATTACACAGAGAAGTGAAATAAGTTACTCCACATCGCAAGGTTGATGGAGTTGGGAGGAGCACCAGATGACAGTGGTTTTAAGCCTGAGCATAAGCCACGTCATGGTAACAACATAAGCACAGTTCCTAGTTTTGCCATTATTGCCTGGTACGGATGATCACATAGAAACCTGCATGTTGGGACTAAATAGCATGCCCACCTGACAGAAGCACATAACATTTAATTAATTATTCAAATGCACAAGTAGGCATTAATAGCAGAACACATGAGGAACCCTGGACTTGAGCTTCCGGATGCACCATGGCTTCCACTCTGCTTTCCAGAGCTGGACAAGAGCAGACAGCAGAGGGCAGCTGAGACGTTTACGCATGAATCATACATTGGAAAGGGGGTGGGGAGAAGACTTTCTCTTAGTGTCTCCAGCTCCAAATTCCCTTTTCAGTTTGACTTAAAAGGAAATGTATGTAGCTTCATTCTCGCCTCTCCAAAATCTTGGACATGTCCTACGTGTAGCATGAGCTCATAAAGCCCTGCATGCATTTATCAGTGGGCGTTTGGGGATGGCTAAGTCACAGTTTGGTATCAGAATAACGCTGGCCTTGTAACGTGAATGGGGAGGTGTTTCGTTCTCTTTTTGAAAAAAAAATTGTGTAAAATTTGTGGTAAAATTTTTTTTGATGTTTGATAGACTACTCCAATGAAACCATGTGGGTCTCAAGATTTTTACAGTAGAAGCATTATTGTTTACTTTTTATTTAAAGATAGTTTCCAAAGCTGTTTAATTATGAATTCAATTAATTATGGTTATAGGACTACTAAGATCACCTGTCTCATCTTTGCTGACTTTCAGTAATTTGTGGTCATTGAGAAATAGTCCATTTCATCTGAGTTGTTGAATTCACAACTATAAAATTGTTAGTGTTACTTCTTCATCATCCTTTTAATGGCTAATGGATATGTTGTGATATCCTGTTTCATTCTTGATGCTGATGATGTTTAAATTCCCTTGTTTTATTTTTGTCAGTCTTGCTAGATTTATCAAGTTTATTGATCTTTTCAAAGAACTAGCTGTTTCTTTCACTGACTGTTTCAATTTATTTTTTACAGTTTTGTTGACTGCTGCATTTACCTTTATTATTTTCTTCCTTCTGCTCACTCCAGGTTTATTTTGCTCTACTTTTTTTGTAGTTACTCAAGGAAGAGTGTTAGATTATTTGTTTGAAAACTTTTTTTCTAATGTAAGCATTTAGTGCTGAGTTTCTCAGGTCTGCTTTGGCTGTGCCACACGTATTTTCATACAGTACATTTTCTTTTTTAAATTTGTTTAAAGATTTCATTTATTGAT